GGATGGGGTTCTACAGGGGGAACAGCGGAAGGTGGAACAGCAGGAACTGGAGCAAGGCCCGAAGCCGAAGCAGGGGATGAGGAAGTGGACCCTGCCTGTAGCTGATCCAAACGGGAGGAGAGTTCCTGCAGATAATGCATAATCTGTTCTTGATAGGCCTGCTGGACATTGACTCTTTGCACCAAGCCCTGAAGTTGTTCCAGGAGAGGCCGTGGTGTCTCCGAGGAGCTCATGGCCTAAGCAAACTGTCAGCACCTATGGTAGTGAGCTCTATAAACCACAGCTTGGGGTTCCCCAGGTACACCCAGCTGAGGTAGAAGAGACCGCTAGCAGGAGCAGAGTACAATGGGAGTAGACTCAGGAGATCCAGTAGGCAAACCGAGGTCAGGACAGGCGGAAGACAGGCAATGTCAGGAACGAAGCCGAGGTCGGTACACGGATAGACAATATAGGAGGAATGTCAGGGACAAGTCGGGGTCGGTACACAGATATACTTGAACGGATTCTCAGAGGAACACGGGAGCTCAGACAACAACGTTGCTCAGGCAAAGTGAGACAGACTGAGCATGTCTTAAATAGACAGGCCAGCTAGGAGGCGGGCCAGGAAGTGATGAAAGGGAAGCACATAAAACCCAGGGAATAGCAGACGACACCCATAGGTGAGCACAGACAAACACACATTGTGAAGGAACAGCAAGGAGGTAAGACAAACAAACAAGAGGCTGCAGGCTCACTTGTGACAGGAATGTTGTAGACGAGGGACTAGCAGTGGATGGTCAGCTCTGCAGCACCTCCTGTAATATCTGTAATATGCTGGGGGTAAAAAGAATAGAAGCAATACTTTTTTTGCCTCACTTTGTATACCCCTGGATGAAATTTTTTTAAAATGACGTGCTTGACTCACGTCTAAATGTAAATAGAAATTCTGTAGCACAATGTGACCAGATTTTTAAAATGAAATCCGGGGACACCCTACTGACCATGACAACTTTTAAAGGGTGTGGAAGGGTCAGGACTAATCATGCACCGCAATGAATGGTGGGTATGGCCTAATTGTGCTAACAGTGGGAGGGGTATGGTTAAATAAAACTTGAGTCTACTATGCTCTGAGTCATGAATGCATAATGTGCAGAGCGCAGGGGTCAGGAGTGGGTAACACATAGATTGCAGGTGTTAGGAGTAGGAAATTCACAGAGTTCAGAGGTCAGAAGCAAGTAGTGAACTGAGTCTAGAGGTCAGGAGTGTAAATGCATAGAGTTCAGTGGTCAGAAGTAAGTAACACAGCGCAGAGGTCATAAGTAGGTAATGCACAGAATGTAGAGCCCAGGTGTGCACTGAGCCTGTGCTGCAGGAACAAAGTGGCATCTCCATCTCCTCTTGACCTCCCACTCATAGGACTGCAAAAGCCACATCATCATCATGAGACCAGGACTTCCTTCTCTTCCTTCAGGCATAGGCAGCCAATTAGAAAAATCGAGCAAAATGTTGCCAGGCAGATCATCCTGCAGCCCATGGACTGGTAATGCCATTGGAGGAATAAGTCCAGGGACACTGTTTTCCAGGGACAACCCCCTGAAACCCAGGACTAACCTCAGAAACTGGGGATGTCCCGTCACCCTACTGTGGGGGACATTATGCTTAAAATTGCTATAGAATTGCTTAACAATAATTTTTTCTTTTTTACTTCCATGTTTCTGCGGGGCTAATTTAAAAAAATCCTCAGAATTTGTCCAAGTTGGTGCCTTAAATAATATTTTTTTATTAATTTGTTTCTTTATGTAGCTGGGGAAGTCCAACACTGAAAATATAAACAGATGCAATAAAATTATTTTTTTAAATTATATTATTTATGCTATTTATTTATTAAATAAAACCAAGTGTAGGTTCCACAAACAAGTGTCGAGAGGATAGGCATGTCAGCGGCCCATGGTTTTGTCCATTAATCTCTTAAGGATCAGCGACATACCTGGACTTTAACATCACTGGACTTTGAGTGGTTGTACCACGATGATGCCTCATCCCGGTATTGTTTTTTCAGCTGATGGTTGGCTTTCTTTTAAAAGCAATCCTGGAGGCTAATTAGCCACTGGATTGATTTTACAAGCAGTGGGAGGGGACGTCTCTCCCTCCCGCTGCCTTCCACGGCTTTCTCGGACTCTCCTGTGCTATCGGGGAACCCAAGAATGCAGTGGGTGGTTTTGCCAGTTGACCATAGATCTGATTAGAGAATGGAATGAGTTTGACCATCTCTATGGTCTAAGAAATCAGAAGCGATGAGCATTTCATCACCTCTGGTTTTGCCGAATGTAAACAAACCCTTAGTGGTTTGTAAAAAGCATCAGATCATACTGATCTTAGTATGATCTGAAGCTTTGAATGGCAGATGAGAGACCCAGGGTCTAATAGACCCCAGATTTTCAGTAAAGAGGATTGTCACTGCCTATTGCTATCATAGGGGATATTTTCATCGCAAACAATAAAAGTGATTAAAACAAAAAAATAAAGGGATAGTGTAAAAATAAATAAATAAATTAAAAAATATATTATACATAGGTATAATATTGTGTTTTTGTGCATTGAAAGTAAAACAGTGTATTTTTTCCAAAAAAATTGAGTTTAAAAAAACACTCTGCAATTACTATGTGACATTAAAAATTGCAACACCTACCATTTTAATCTCTTTAGGGCCTCTGCTAAACCTTTCCTTAAATAGTGATAGCTCTGAGACTGCCATTCTGATCCTGACTTTGCTACCTATTAAGTCTCTGACCTGGAATAAGTATACAGGACCTGTTTAGGCTTTTCAGACTTTACAGACTGCATGCTTTTGTGAAGCCCAACCTTGGTCAAAATAAAAAAAAAAAACTCCCCCAGCTGGGGTTTGTTCCACTTTTATCTTTTTGGATTTTGGCTTTTTTGGAAGTAAGTTAAAAATCCTGTAGTGTGTGCTTTTACTAAACAAGAATGCTGCATATACAAACTACTTACAGTTGTAGGAAAGAAATACAAGACATAAAGAGTACTACAAATAGACATGTGTTTTGTTTTGTTACAATTCATTTTTCAGACAAAAATGTTATATTTGGAGATTCAGATGTATACGAATCTTCAAATGGACATAGTAACAAACATCAACGAATTTGAAAAAAAAAGGTAAAAAGCATTAGTTTCAGTTGCATGACATCGCATGATGTGATAGTAGTTCAGGTCCATTGGAAAGTTAATTCAGATTAAGATAACAAATGGATCCGAATTTTGTTCCATTCATTAATTTGGATGGACATGACGCCAATCAATATTGTCCAATCAGCTCATGCCATTTCTCTTGGTATGTTGAAATAAAGTCAGAAAATATCAAATCCTTCCAATTCGAATCTCTGCAATTTGATAATATATTGAATATATAGCAATCTTCTGGAAAAACTGCTAAATTTTTCAAATACACCAATATCAATGAATATACAAAATGAATGCCAAAGATACCAAATTAATTTGAACATAACAAATATGATGAAACAAAATCCTTCAATGAACGAATGCATCCGAAACAAAACAAACCAAGAATTTCCGGCATGCACATGTATAACTACAAATACGAAAAAAATAACTAACCTTATTAGAAAATGAGAATTATCAATAGTATGTATGCAGTAAGGGTACACTATAAATCACTTAGCTTCTGTTATAGCTGGTCCATATTTTCCATATCAAACAGGCATCTCAAGCGATTGCAGGAAACCGGGTTCTTTCTGTGTATCTGCTGTAGTGTGGCTTCTAGTGTTATCCCCGCAGGCAGAGTCTTCCTTGGTCTTGTGGAGTGCCTCTTTCAGCTTGTGTTGCTGACCTTTTATTTAGAAAGCTTGGGTAGTCATTCCTTCATGGTTGCATCCCTTCCTACCTATCACTATCTTTCTACATAGGTTCCTAGGAGAGAATCATTTTGTAATTTCAAATTCTATATGGCACTGTAGTATCATAAATGCCTTGGGTCAAACATGTGAAAAGGTCTATTATTTTATGTTTATTGAGATAGCTTGGGTCCAATGTTTGAAAGAAGTGCCTATAAAACAGTGGTTCTCAACCTTCCTAATGCCGTGACCCTTTAATACAGTCCCTCATGTTGTGGTGACCCCCAACCATAAAATTATTTACCCAGTAATTATAATTCATGAGTGTCGTTTTACCTACAATACTGCTGCTTTCAACACAGTAGCTGCTTTTAACAGAGTAGCTGCTTTCAACACAGCAGCTGCTTTCTACACAGTAGCTGCTCTTTACACATCGGAAATATGTGTTTTCCGATGGTCTTAGGGGACCCCTGTGAAAGGGTCATTCGACCCCCAAAGGGGTTGCGACCCACAGGTTGAGAACCACTGCTATAAAACAATGGCAATAGCTAAAAATGTATACATTGTCCAAATATACAACGATAGTATCTATTTTATATTGTATTAGAGACAGCAAAACTAGTCTTTAGTCAACACTTTTTCCTGATGGAACAATTCCTGTCAGAATCTGTTTTTGTTTACTTCTGAAAAACAATAGATGTGTTTATGTAGGTCTGAAAAAATCACCAAACTAATAAAACAGGCTTTAAACAAAAATGTAGCTCTGGCTGCAATACCCTCTTGCCTCTCTGGTGCTGTTGCCTGCAATAATTCCTTTTCTGCCACCAGATGTCCTCAGTCTTCAAGGTTAAGTGACGCTAAAAATACCCTGTGAGACCAGAAAGTCATGGACCCGCCCTTTGAGGACCACCCACTGCTGAAGAAGATTGGAAGAGAACCTTGTGATTGAAGATTGAAAGAGCACCTTACTACATGAGCAGCAGTTACTACTACTCCCAATTTCTATCCTGGCAAGTCCATTTTAAAAAAGAATATAAAATACTTTTTTTTTATAATTCAATGTTAACAAATAATTACTACTTAAAAAGACCCCCTAAGCCATAATGGATATGGAGAATATAATGTTACTTGCAGAAAGCTAAAGACATACTGTAGGTCAGGGGTGTTAAACTGGTGGCCCTCCAGCTGTTGCAAAACTACAAGTCCCATCATGCCTCTACCTTTGGAAGTCCTGCTTGTAACTGTCAATCTTGCAATGCCTCATGGGACTTGTAGTTTGGCAACAGCTGGAGGGCCGCCAGTTTTACACCTGTGCTGTAGGTGGTGTGGATTGAAGCTCAGGTTTCACAGCTAATTGATACAGTAGCTGTTCACAGGTTCACATCAGGTTTACATCAGGTTCAGGACAGGATTAGCTCAGGATCTTATTCTGGTCACACATACAGTGTGCGGTTTAGGAACGGCTTCCATACAAGTCAATAGCCTGTAATCCGCACCTGAACCGGACCGAATTGCTCAGAAATCGGACAGGACTCTTTAAAACTGCACTGAATCCGCACCTCCAGTGCACCAGGTACCATAGAAAGCAATCTTTTTTCACATACAGGTTAGATGCGGTTCAAACCGCATATATGTGAATGAGCACTTAGGACTCGTTCACACTTTTTGTTATGACTTGCGCTTTTCCGTACTGGATAAATAAAGGTTGCCACTAGGGCACATAGAAAACAATTGCCCCATTCACACCACAATGCTGGTATGATATGCATTGTGGTGTAGCATGTCTTCATTTATCCATACTGCACTGGGTGGCACTGCATTTCACTGCATAACAGTGCAATGCACCACGATGTTGTGCAGTGACACAAAGCATATTAAGAAGGACAAAAATGTAAGGGACAATTACAATAAAACTGGGAATGTTCCTGGAATTCAGGGTCAGCCGGCAACAAAATAGCACCGTCCTTACTCTTCATTTTCTGGTACTGCAGATGCTTTGGTATGTGGCTATAGCACAGATACTGTTTTTTGCTATATGCTGTTATTTTCCAGCCCAACTGGCTGATCATCTTCCTCTCCCACTTACTCTGCAGCAGAGGTTTGCGGCTCATGTTTTTTGCATGAGTCTCTGTGCCTCTCGAAAAACAATGCTATTTGCAATATTAGTGATTGGACTGTGTTAATACTGCATTATCAGGCTTGGGCACGCACCTATATATCAACAATTACAAGACGCTTACCAAATCTCCCAACAGCAATAAAAGATTGGCTTATTAATGTTGAGAGCTGTGAGCACAGAGAGCTGAAGTGAACCTCAGCTGCTCCCTCTTCTTATGTTCGAATATAGATTTTCTTCAGCCCATTAACCAAAACTGAAATGCATCATGTTTTCCCCTACGCCATTCACTATACACAAAGGAAGCCTTGCTCCAGCTTTCCCCATACATAGCTTTGCAGCAGGCTGGTATCTATCGCCTGCTATCTGTTGAAATATGTATGCTAATTATACAATTACCCTGATGTTCTCCTGTTACTTCTGTATTTTGGCATAATCAGACAAGGAAAAGTTTCAATACTTGTATAAATGGGATTTGTGTGAAGGAGAATTAATTTTACACATATATCTCTGCTTCATACGGAAGAAAACATTCCTGTAGGGAATTGGGGCCAGTTTTTCTTAGGTTTTGTGTTCAGAAAATTGGATATCTGCTGAAAATGTGGCAAAGATGTAGTATGTTTTTTTTAAAGTGATATAAAAGGCAATTAAAAAAAAACAAAGCAAACATGTCATACTTCCATGCTCTGTCCAGTGGTTTTGCACAGAGCGGCCCTGATTTTACCTCTTCTTGGGTCCCCTACTGGTGCTCTTGGCCCTCCCTCCTGCTAAATGCCCCCAGAGCAAGCAGCTTGCTATGGGGGTAGCCAAACAAGCTCACTCCCGAGCTGCTGCTCTGCATGTCCACTCACGCACACAGAGCTGCAGCTTGGCCCCGCCCCTCTCTCTCCTCATTGGCTCACTGGTTGTGACCAACAGCAGCAAGAGCCAATGGATCTCAGTCAGTGAGGAGGGAGAGTCGCCGGCGAGCCAAGGCTCTCAAGCACATTGCTGGATTGCAATGGGGTACAGGCACACAAAATGAAGGTAAATAGAATGCATGAAGGTAAAACATCGCAATAGGGCTCAGGTAAGTATTAGGGGGGACTGGGGGGCTGCTGCAAACACTTGAGCCTTTACAACCACTTTAATTGCTAAATGGCTGCTAGCCTGCTACTTGTGTGCATCTATCATGCTTTTGTTATGTGTCATTTTAATAAATGTATATGGTTATAAAATGAAATGAAATAAAAGAAGTTTGGAGTATATATAAAAAAAAACCAAACATATATACCATATCATTGTGATGCTGCAGCTGTTCAGCATCAACTCCAAGATGAGAACGGAGCGATCACATGACTGCTGATAGTTCAGTTCTCGGTTTGCTCAGAGTGGAGAGCAATGACTCTCACTTGCTGGAGTGCCTGGTTGGAGATGGGGCAGGAGAGAGGGAAGCGAGAGGAAATATCTCCAAACTGAAAAGAATCCTCTATTAGACAGCTGTCACCACAAGTAATCCTATTGAGAGACTTCCCTTTATTTTTGTTCCATTGGCTCACACTGTTTGATTTCTCCTAACTTTCAGTCCCATGACAATAGTCATCAAGACAAAGAGGGAGGATAAATCTATCCAGCAGGGGTAAACAGAGTACAAATATATCTGATAAGGTTGCTTACCCTTCCTGACTGTCCACAATAAAATACTTTAATGTCAAAACTGTTTTTTTTTCCAGTTTGGGGAGGTGCTAAAACCCCTGTAGCAGGTTTACATTGCTGTCTATGCCCCTACTTGGTAAAGCCGCCATTTCTATTTCAGCTGGTGACTGTAGCAATCGTGCACACAGAGACGGATACGAACCTCCATTTTGGCAAAGGACCAACCATCTTGTGCAATCATATCTCTCTCTCCCTTTTTCCTCATCCCCCTCCCTCTCTGTTGAGTGACATGTGGTCTGTTTGATGCAGCGTTCAAAAGGCATCAAAACCCAGTGGGAGGGCGTCCTGGCTATAAAACCTCACCAGCTAGGTGCCTAGCTGTCTGTTCACTGTGCAATCTGGGATATCGTAAAAGTGTAAACCAAGTCCCTCACTGAACTTCAAAGACCTTCCAAGGGGTCGTAAAAACAGACTTACTTTTAAAAACTCACTTTTTCATATAAGTTGATATCTTCACGTAGGACATAATTACCTAAACATGGAGCCCATATTCGGACGGCTCAATTTGAGACCATTCTCCTGGTATGTTGCACCCCTTATCTGACACATGTAAGAGAGCAGAAAATTATATCTTCTGAACCATTCAACCATCAGAGTGTTATTGCTGATATTGCCGAGTTTCCTCTTTCTCTGTACAAAAAGGAGGTGGTGGCAGTGTGAAGGGTTAGTTGCGCAATTAACCTGACCCAGTAACAATCGCGCTTAGGCTACCGGTACATCGATAGTGGTCCATTAGCTGGAAAATCTTTGTGCAGGGTGCAGCTGGGCGTGGCATTGTTACGCACGTGACATCACGGTTTTAGATTGGCTAGTCCTTTGGTCACGAGTTTGGTGTGAAGGGCTGGGATCTGACGTCGCGATCGTCACAGTGACCATTATCACTAAGGCAGAATGTGATAGGAAATCCAAAATTTTACAAGAATACAGGGAAAATATTCCACTGAGGACATCTTGCTAAGTGGGTATTACCCTTCATTTTGGAAAGGTTTTGACTATTTCCTACTCTGTTCACAAAATAAACACAGTTTTGGCTTTGGACATAAATTAAGAACATTAAAAAATAATAAATTAACTTGTGTGTGACATGTTTATACATGTGAAAGCAATTACTGGCTGCTCTACACCGTAGGCGTGTAGCCAGACTTGGATATGCACTTCTGCTTAGTTTTTCTTTTTGCATTTAAATACTCAATAACCATAATACCGTATGCTTCAGTTTTTGCAGTCATGTCCAAGGAAATATAGTTTTATGTACATGGAAAAACACTGATAAAACCTTCACAGTCCTCTTCTCATTAGTGCTTAAGAATGAACGCACAGCAGTAGTCAACTAGCAACACAAAAAGACTGGAGCACGGGATCCAATTAGCACACTATGCAATTTTATTGAGAAAAAAACATATCACAGTCACTGTTAAACAGCTTGTATCCAGCTAGGTGCACACTAAGCTGCGGTTGTGGTGTAAATGGCAGAGAGATCTCGGAACCAGCAAGCGGAATACTGCTCACGCTGCTATCACAAAGCAGCACTCTCAGTTGCCATCCGTTCTTCCAGCTGGAACAAGTGGAGGAAGTGCCAACACATTTCAAGGGAATTACCCCTTTAGTCAAGCCTACCCTGGTCATAAATATTATATATAATAATTGTATACATCCATTGAATTAAACATACACTGACATACACTATGTGTACATTAATCTCTATATTTTGTTATATGGAAAAGTTTTAACAGAATTGCATAACAAAAATTGTGCATTAAATTAAATAGCAAATTTGTACATTAAAACAATATTATGAAATATCAAATGTTAAAATCACCCTACTAACATTTCATAAAAACACCTATTATTTTTACTGTATATAATATAAAATTATATAATAAAATTAAATATAAAATACATTAATTCTAAAATTAATTATAAAATACTACTATGAAACATCAATAAAAACTTTATTAGTTCACTTATCTTACATAGTTACATAGTTAGTCTGGCTGTAAAAAGACAAAAGTCCATCCAGTTCAACCATAGAAAAAAAAAAAAGTTATGATCCTATGCCCACATTTGATCCAAAGGAAGGAAAAAAAAAAGCCCATAGTTCACGTATTGAGCCTATGAATGCCTAGTTAGAAAAAAAGGTGTTCTAAGGCAAGGGTTAAAAATTTTTTCAATTTCTGAGCTACTAGCCAGACCTTAAGAGTTACTCGCCACCAGTTGCCTCACCCAACCCCTACCCTGCTACACCCCCTAATTCCGCCCCTAAACACATCCTCGTAAATTATTTCATGAAATGACCCTGTTAAATGTTACCACATTACAATAGGGTCCCCAGAGTCCCCCACACATTACATCAGGGCCTCCAATGTCCCCCTAAACACTCCATCATACTTAGACCATGCACCGCATACAACCATAACCCCCCATAATCTTTCACTCACAAAACCATAACTCTACCAAGCATATCCTACCTACTATCCAACCCAGCAATACCTCAAATGCCCCATACTCT